GTCACGTGGTTTTGTGAAGAAGGGGAGGGTGCTGTGGCGGAGGGGGCCGGGGTTAGTGCTGGCAGCGGGGCAGGGGTGCAGAGGATTTCGGACAGGTCGTCCATGATACAGGTCTCCTTGGGGTCGACCAGGTTGAATTCCCTTACGAAAACGATGAAATGTGCATACAGAGTGTTCAAGTGGCCCTGCAGTTCCAGAGCTACCGTCTCTTTAAAGTGCGCCCAGTAGAGGTGAGCCAGCACGTGGAACAGGTACCGGCAGATCTTCTTTACCAAGGACTCAAAGGAGTTGGGGAACTCTTTGCCTGAAGCGAGAAAAAGACAAAAACAATAATAACTAAATGACTGAGCTTTTGGCAGTGTTATGAACTGGCTCGTGTTGCCAGTCCCTGAATAAAATATTAGAACTTGGTGTGAATGCAAAACTAAAGATGCAGCACTGCTGCAGGTTTGCATTAAAAGTGAGTTATTTACCACATTAAGGAGGACAGTTCACGCCCTGGGTCCTGACCACGTTGTTTTAACTGCTTTCATTCTGAGCTGTTGCCCATAACTGTTATTGCATAATTGTTATCGGCTCCTCCTAGCGATCTTTGGGTTTGATCTTGTGGATTCGACTCACTGGATTGTGAGTTGTTTGACATGTATACCAGTTGCTTTTTTTTCTCTCTGCTGTTCTTAATAAGTGCTGGCCGTGTACCCTGTTGTGGGGTTTGTTGCTGTTTTTGTTTGTTTGTTTGTTCCTGTGTTTTGTTTTTGATTTTTTTTGTTGTTATTGTCTTTATTGTCTGTGTTCCTCTGTCCCGCTGTTTGTGAATGTGTAAAAATTTTGAAACTTGCATAAATTAATACATAAAAAAAAAGTGAGTTATTTAAAAAGTGCTGATAATATTCATTGCTTAGATAATAAAGTAAAAAATCCCAAGACTCACAAAGCGTTTTGATTGCAATCTACAATTTCTTCCTGCCGTTACTCAATGGACTGCTGCTGATTTATGGTACCCTACACTTCCACATCTGCACCAGCAGGGGGAAGTAAAGTGCTTTAACACTTCAGAGCTGCCCTGGTCCGCACTCACCATATTTTGTAGGAAAGATTTCCTCATCTGTGACCAGTTTCTGACAAAGACTCATTACAAAGTCTACATATTGTGGAGCAGTGCACTTCGTCTTCTTCCCCTTCTCGTCATACCAGTAGTATATTCTAGAAAGAGAGTAACACAGAGGAAATGTCACAATCCCTGTTATTACAACAACATTAAGACATATGAACGGAGAACAGGATGTGATTACACAGCAGTGATCAGAGCTTTAATAATCATAATGAATGCTGCTGAAAGAATGTGTGTGGCTCATGTAGCAGCAGCAGCATTAGCTCAGACAAAAGTGTTTGCTAGAACAACAACAACAAACTTTATTTATATAGCACATTTAAAAACCAGTGGTGTACCAAAGTGCTTAACATGCAAGAGGGTAAGATGAAGTAACAGGGAAGGATGAGGGCTGTGGTAAGGCACCAAAACGTGCTAGCAGGTTGAATGGCATTAAAACACTCGAAGGCAAAAGAATTGCATATAAAAGCATAAAAGAAGGCTAAGTGTAGAGGATAAAACAGTCAAAAAAATTTAAAAATGAATTAAAAGTAATTAAGAATAAGCGTTAAGCTAACTATGAAGCAAGTGTTAACTGGTAGAAAAGGCGAGGCTAAATAAGTGTATAGCGATGGGGAGGTTATTCCATAAATCGGGTGCAGCCAAGGCAAACGCGCGGTCACCTCTAGTCTTCATCCGAGATCTCGGCAGTACCAAGAGTGACTGGGAAGATGATCTTA